AGAGAAATTGTATGGAATTATGTCATGTATCTGAGACTGGAGTGAGAATGTAAAGTGAATTAATTGAAGACAATCAATCAGGAGTACAGTGTTGCTTTTGACTGTCTAATTGTCTTGAGTTTGTGGTTTGCAATATTCTGTTTGGAATTCATGTGCCTCCTGTTATTTATGAAGCCTGTTTCCTCATGTCAAAGTAGTATGGTTTTTCTCTTAAAACTACATATCTTAAGATCTGTATTTTTTAGAAGGTTTACTTCACCTGATTTTTAACATGGATATGAGGTTTTATGGTGTAGATTATCTCAAATTACTGAATTGTTCTCAGTCATCACTTCTTAGCAATATCAAGTGCCAAAATATTTGGATTTGGGATAGATGACATAGTTAATATGGTTTCTATTTCTGAAATTTATTTTAGTCAATTGAAGCCATTTATAGGGAGTGGCAGAAGAGGAATGAATTGCCTCTTCCTAAGAAAAATGACACTTCTAACTGCTACCCCTGCCAGTCTTGAAAAGGAACTTTTGTGGTTAATGTTTCTCACTTATAATCTCATGTATTTTTAAATATGTTTCATGCTATAGTGTGACCTCTGTCATAGAAATTTCTGCTTTGGGAATTTTTTGGAAGTACCTTGACCGCAAGGTAGAAGATGAGCTGGAGGGAGGAGTGTTAATAGTTGAATGGACCCTATCTGATCTTAGAACTGCATGCTGTAAATACTAGGTACTTAGATGCTTATTGGCTACTGTAGTCCTGGTCTCCAGCAAGTTCCCTGCTCTTCTCCAATTAATTGTTTTGCTTGGTAGCCAGTAAGTAGGTTTTATTTCAATGTCCACTTTCATATTACTTATTCATCTTGAAAGGTAAATTACCTTAATGTTCTTCCATACACTGGATATACTTAAAATTGGGTTTATTAAAGGGTTAAAAGAGAAGTGTAGGAACTACATTATGTAGCAAAGTATTTTCTAAGATTTATCTTCTTACATAAATATTCCTAAGCACATTGTTTAATTAAAATGTTTAATTTTGCATCATGTGTTCCATCATTATATGTTTAGAAATTGGAAAAAACATAGCCCTTTATCTGAACAAAGGGTTCAGAAATGTCTTACATTCCAATTGTATTTGTGTTCTATGATGTTTATTAACAGCTTCCTACAGATTTAGCTGCTTAAAGCAACACACATTTATTTCTCTTTCTATGGGTCAAGGATCTAGGCCATAGCTGAGTCCTCTGCAAGACTCCATTTGAAATGTTGGCTGGGATTGCATTATCTAGAGGTTCAGATGGGGAAGAATCTGTCTTCAGATGGCCTCCAATTGTTTGGCAGAATTGTCTTGTAGTTGGGTTCTTGGAAGCTTGCTTCTTCAAAGCCAGCAAAGTAGAGAGAGTAGGAAGATGGGCTAGTACTATATCTATGTCATCAGTATACCAGGCCTTTATTGCAGGTTTCATTGGTTAAAAGCGAACTATGAGTCTGGTTCACACTCAAGGGGTGGGGGTTTTGCAAAGGTTTAAAAACCAGAAAGTAGGAATCCAAAGTAGTTTCTTTAAAGTGTGTGCCACACTGATTAATAGACTTAGGTAGTACAGTAAACATGTAACTGCCTTAACTTTTTAAAAAGCTCATTTTTAAAGAACTTTTTAAAAAGTTGCAATAATGCATATAGTAAGTACAATATTAGTAAACATGAATGAGCCTCTTTTAGGGGCTGGGAATTTTAGGTTTCATGGGTATAAACATGAAAGGCTTCTTCCTGCTCTTGCTCAATGTTCCCTTGGGTTTTAGAAGACCTTTTTGATTATACAATGTTATAAGTTCTGTATAGGACTTTTAACAAAACATTTAGTGAAGGATCTCTAGCCAGGGTAGTCAAAGAATGCTTCACAGAGAAAGGTAACATTTCAACTGTTTGAAGGATTTAAAAATTTTATGGAGGAGAGGGACTATGGACTAAAGAAAAAATCCACAAAAGACTGGGACTTTGATAGGGTATACTGAAAAGTTGACCATATCTGGACTGTTGGGTGTGTGGAGGAATGATGAACACATGTCTAGAGAATAGAAATTTGGACTGATCATTGAAAAATTCTACAGTGCTCCATTTATTTTATTTAATCAAGTTTGAAAGCAAGGTAGTGTAATTAGGCCAGGGGGTACCATTGTAGGATAATACATGTACATGTATTATATAATCTTCTTTAGTGGTGGAGTGTTTGTTTTTGAACTGTACACAACCCTGATCCAGATTGTTTTTTAAGCAGAGAATGTGGTAGCAGGAAAGTAAGCTAGAAAATTTGGAATGTAATTGATGGGCTAGGCACCTTAGTGCATACCTGTAATTCTAGCTACTTGGGAAGCTAAGACAGGAGGATTACAAGTTTGAGGCCAGCATGTGCAATTTAGGCAGACCCTGTCTGAAAATAAATAAAAAGGCCTGGGGATATAACTCAGTGGTCGAGCCATTGGATTCAATCCCTAGTACCGCAAAATAAAGGAAAAAAAGAAAATTTGTGGAAGATGCCTAAGTTGAAATTATTGTCAAGGGAGGAGAAAAATTGGATTTGATCTAGATTTATAAGGTAGAAATGATAGAATTGAGAATCTAGGTGCATAGTGACACCTTTAAGCAATATTAAAGATGGGAAGAACAATTTTCAGAAGTAATGAGTTCTTCTAGGTGTGTTAAATTTGGGTGGCTATCGGATTTCCATCTGGATAGAAGCATCCTTTTAGAAGTTCAAAATGATTCTTTAACTTGGGACTTTACAAAAAAATTGAGAAATCATCAATTTGGGGATTATAAGTGGATCTAAAAAGTGGGTGATTACTAAGGGATGAATATAAAGCTTGTTTTTAAGGGTATAGGCTAATATTTAAAAACCTTAGTATGGTATCTCAGAATTTGTTCAACTTTATGTCTACTTTTTTCCCCCATTAAGTTGTGAATGTTCATAAAAACAATTAGCATGGGTGGTAAAGTAGCCTTCATTAATGCAGTGAGGTTGGGAAGTTGAATGAGACCAAAAAAATATAGTAGTTAGTGCAGGTTATTTCCAGAGAAAATGTATGGAATTATGTCATGTATCTGAGTCTGAAAGTGAGAATGTAAAATGAATTAATTGGAGACGAGCAACCAGGAGTATAGTGGATAGGATCTGAGGTGCAAGGATTTTATGATTTTTTTGTGTGCATTATAATTATACATAATGGTAGAATTTGTAAATATGTATATTTTCCCCCTGATACTATGGATTGAAACCAGCAGTGCTCTACCACTGAACTATATCCTCAGCCCTTTTTATTTATTTATTTTTTTTAAAGTCTTTCACCAAGTTGTCAAATTGCTGAGACAGACCTAGGAGTAAGGATTTTAAGAGACAGAGGAAGAGGCCATGATTAGAATTGAATTACAACTTAACTTTTTAAATCATAAAGATTATAATACAGTACATATTCAGTAGAAAACAATAAAATACAGAAAAGCATGTAGAAGATGTTGCAATTACTTGTAATCATATCACCAAAAATAACCAGAATGAAACATTGATGTCTATTTTCTTCACTATACACATCTGGAATACAAAAACTTGGGACATTCTATACAATATTTTGATTTTGAACCTTTTTGATTTTTCTAATATAAGATTTTAAATTTACTTCTACAGATTTTGAAGTGTTTTTACTAATATTTAGTGGAAAATGTCTTCTGATTTCCCTTGTGATTTCTTGGATCCATGGACAATTTTTTGCTAACTTTTTTTTTTTTTAACCCCATCAGTTTTTAACATAACATTTTTTATAACACGATTTTTTTTTTTTTTGGTACTGGGGACTGAACTCAGGGCCACAAGATCATTGAGCCACATCCCCAGCCGTATTTTGTATTTTATTTAGAGACACAGTCTCACTGAGTTGCTTAGGACCTCACTAAGTTGCAGAGGCTGGCTTTGAACTTCCTCCTGTCTCAGCTTCCTGAGTATCTGGGATTACAGGCCTGTGCCATTGTGCCACTTTTATTGTTGATTTCTGTTTCATTAGTTCAACTTCTTATCTCTTTTTTTCCTATTTTGTAAAATTGATTTTGTTCATTCTCTCAGCTTCTTAATTTATTTTTCACTTATTTTTTTTAAATGATTAAAACATTTAAAGCTATGATTATCTCTCAGTGTAATAAGTTACTTTTCATAGCTTTGAATGCTATATGTTTTCATATGTATCATATACATTTTCTTTTAAAAACAACTGTGAGGAATAAATTTTAACTACATGTTTTGATATTTTCATTTGGGAGTTATTTTAAAGTATAGCTTTAACATTTTTAATACCCTATTGTTATTTCTAGTGTTAACTGAAAGTGTTGTTTTGTGATCATAGAATCTATGAGTTTTAAATGATGGAAACAGCTTAAAAAACAAGTGAAAAATAACATATTGTTCTCTAATTATTGGAAAGTATCCTAGGGTTGTGCACAGAATTGAAGGAACAGGTGCAAAGAACCAAGACCACTGGAACCAAAATGTAGCAATTGTGTGTGTGTATGTGTATACACCCATGCACATAATTTATGCAGATGCCCTAATCTCATTTTGCGTTTCCCTACTTTATCCTATTCTGTTGAATATAGGCCTTTTAAGCTGATGACCTGCAGGCTCATCTTTACTTCTAACCCTTTGTGATTTTGGAGGCTTAAAAAAGAGGGGATTATTTCTATCTCTATCAGAAGGACTCTGATTAGCTCATGGTCAGGAGGACCATGTACTTTACTCTCATGCCCTATTTCCTTTCCAGTTTCTCAGATTTTGCAAAAAGAATCTAAACTTTTAGTTTTTATTATTTTTAAAAATGTGTTTTCTAACAAAATTCTCCTGTGAATATTTGAATTAAGCTTTACAGCACGTTTACTCTGCCATATATGTGGTTAAAACTTTGTACATATTGAATATTTTCAAAAATATATTTAATAATATTGTGTATTTATGTTAATTTTTTAAAAAATGTGGTTGGATTGTGAATTTGTGTGTTCTCCTTATACAGGGGCTGTGCTAATCTTCCCTGTATCATTCCAATTTTAATGTGTGCTGCCTAAGCAAGCACTTTATATGTTCTTAAACAAGGTTGTTGATCACCAAAATTATTGTCATATTTAAATCACTTGAAAAACATTGCTTCTGAAAGAAGCAGTGTGACTATGTCTTTATTTGTGTTAATATATGTAAATGGAATTTTTGAACCAGAGAAAATAAGTATAATGTGGGTTATACAAGTGGGAACAATCATAAAATTGCCTTAGGAATAAAATTATGCTGTTTAGAGCCTTTTTTTAAAAAAATAACCATTTGGATTTGCTACAAAGTATTCTTAGATTATTTCAAATTTGTTTTGTGGGTGGTTGGAGATGGCTAAGATGATTGGTAAGAAGATAAGGCAGGTCAGACTTTTAAGTATGTACTGCTGCTTCAGGACAGAATCTGAAGGCTTAGCTTTTAAAATTCATTTTTTTATTTTTTAAGTTGAAGCCAGGGTCTCCCACATGCTGGGCAAGCACACTACCCATCCCAGATTCAGCCTCTTTATAATTGTTGTATGATATGGCGCATCTTTAATAAAGCAATTAATCATTGCTGTGCTGCCGCCTTTGCATCTTCTAGTCTGAGAGGTCCGAGGTCTTGATTTGTTTTTCCTCAGATCCCTATCACAGTATTTCTTCAAAACACTTCCAGTAGCCAGGAGTGATGACACATGCCTGTAATCCTAGTGACTCTAGGCTGAGGCAGGAGGATCCCAAGTTCAAAGCCATCCTCAGCAATTTAGCAAGGTCCTAAGTAACTCCGTAAGACTCTTAACTCTAAAAATAAGGGGTGAGGGGTTGGGGCTGTAGCTCAGTGGCAGAGTGCTTACCTAGCATGCATGGGGCACTAGGTTCGATACTCAGCACCATGTAAAAATAAAATAAAGGCATTCTGTCCATCTACAACTACAAAAAACAATAATAAAAAAAAAATAAGAAGTGGGGTTGCAGCACAGTGGTTGAGTGCCCCTGGGTTCAATCCCTGCTGACAACAAGGCGAGCACCTTCAAGGCTTAATTCCTTTATAACTCCCCTTGTCCACTCTTGCTCCATCTGACCATATACAGCATTTTTAAGGATTGTTGTTTGTTTCTTTAAAATCAAACCACAACTAATGTCTTCATAAATATTGAACTAATACCATTGCTTTTATGTAGTAATTCATAGATGAGGAAAGTGATTTCACAAGAACCTATCGCCTTTGAGTAAGGAGGGTAGATAAATTTCCTTTAACAGTTATAGTATTTAAATGTTATGTATTCTGTATACATTATTATTCTGTAGAACATATCGAACTTTCTTTTAGTAATTCAGAGTTCACATTGGCTGCTTTTCTTTTCCTGTACAATCTTTGTGTTTTAAAATTTTTGCTTAGTTTCTTGAAAGATTATTTAGTTTTACAGCCCTCCCTTGGTAATGTAAATCTCAGTTTGTTCATATACATTAGATCCTCTCTGAATTTCATCTTGATATGGTCTCTTCTGGGGCCTTCTGGCCTGCCCATTCTGAATTGGTCCAGGAGAATCCATTTCCCTTTTATGATCAATCTTCTAATACTTTGATGTTGTGTCTTTTCTTTCTTGATATTCTCCATTGTTTTTGGGCAGAGCATAATCTCCTATGTCCTACTGAGAAACAATGTATGTAAGGTAAAAGTTTTTGAGTCAAAACATATATATGGGCTGGGGATGTGGCTCAAGCGGTAGCGCGCTTGCCTGGCATGCGTGCGGCCTGGGTTCGATCCTCAGCACCCCATACCAACAAAGATGTTGTGTCCACTGATAACGATAACTCTCTCTTTAAAAAAAAAAAAAAAACCATATTTATCCCCTCCCTCCCTCAGGGTGGGGAGATTGAACCTGAGGCCTCACACATACTAAGCAAGTGTTCTATCACTTAGCTTACACCCTTGACCCTTTTTATTATGAGACAGGGTCTTGGAGAATTGCCCAGGCTGGCCTTAAGTTTGTGACCCTCCTGCCTCAGCCTCCTACTTACCTGGGATTATAGGCATGTGCCTAGCCTGTCTGCACTCTTGATTACTTCTTTGGCTTGACATTGAGTTCTAGGTTGGAAATTATTTTCTCTTAGATTTTAGATGTGTTGTTGAGTATATGGTTGTCATTCTGGTTGTTGATTCTTTGTATGACCACCCCCCCCATTCCAAACTTTTAGGCTCTTTTCCTAGGGTTATAAATTTTTGTTATCATGGATCTTGGAAGGAATGTGTTATTATTAAAGCATATTTGTAAGGCTCTTTTAGTCTGTTAAATTTTGTCCTTCATTTTGGGCAGTTTCAAAAAATTATTTCTGTGTGTTCCATATTTTCTTCTCATTTAGATTTTGAATACCTAGAATGATTCTCTGCTGAATTTTTTCTTGATTTTTTTTTTTTTTTAAGTCTCTGGTTTTTTGTTCTTTTTTGGAAGGTTTTTTTCTTCCATTGTTATAATACTTAAGTTGGTTTTTGTTTGTATAATTTTTACCTTTTGATTTCAGTGTTTTTTATTTTTATGAATTTTCTTTTTGTGAGGCTTTTTTCATACATTTATTTTTTCCTACTTTTTTATTGGCACATTATAGTTATACATAATGGTTTGTTGTTAACATATTTGGACATACACACAATATAACAATGTAATTTGGCCAGCGTCACTCCCCAGCACTTCCCCCCTCATTCAGTATCTCCTACTCATTGATGTCTTTTTTCTACTGATCTCCCTTTGATTTTTTATGAGGTCCTGGAAGCCACTCCCCACTTTTCTTTTTCCTTTTTTCTCTCTAGCTTTTGCATATGACAGAAAACTTATGACCATTGACCCTCTGAGTTTGGTTTATTTCACTTTTAACATAATGTTCTCTCTATGCATCTGCTTTCCTGTAAATAACAATTTCATTTTTCTTTATGCATAAAACTCCATTGTGTATATACACAGTTTTTTTTGTTGTTGTTGATCATTTATTTGTTGATAGATACCTAGGCTGGTTCCTTAGTTTGGCTATTGTGAATTTTGCTGCTATATAAACATGGGTATGCATGTATCACTATGGTGTGATAACTAATTCTTTCTGTCATATGGTGTTGCCATGGCTAATCTTTTGAGGCACTCCATACTGATTTCCATAGTGGTTGTACTAATTTATAGACCCACCAAGAGAGTTAACAGTTTTCCTTTTTCTCTGCATTCTCTCCAAGATTTATGATTTGTATCCTTGATGACTGGCATTCTGACAGGTATGAAGTGAAATTTCATTTTAGTTTTGATTTGCATTTCCGTAATTGTTAATGATGTTGAACTTTTTTTTTTTTTATACATGTGTTGGCCATTTGTATTTCTTCTTTTGGGAAGTGACTGTTCAATTCATTTGTCCATTTATTAATTGGGTTTTTTGTTTGGTTCAAAGTCTTTCAGGTTTTTTATATATTCTAGATATTAATCTACTGTCAGAGAGTAGCAAAGATTTTTCTCCCATTCTGTAGGTTCTTTCTTCACATTTCTTAGTTTTCTTTGCTGGGCAGAAGTTTTTTAATTTGATGCTGCCTCATTTATTTACTCTTGGCATTATTTCCTGAGCTTTAGGGGGTCCATACATTACATTTTTGTTTTGTGATAACAACATCTTTTCTGAGACTATTATGTGTATTTTTGCATGTTTGTTTATATATGTTCATATATGTATGTTTACTTATGTGTATGCTTTTTTCCCTTCCTAATTGCTTACTTTCTTCCCAGTTATTTTTCTCTTGACTTAAGTTTTTTGTTTTCTTTAAGTGTTTGGTGATATTTGGCTGATTACTGGTACATTAAAGTAGGGTACTTAAAAATTGATTGGAAGCTCTCTCTATATGTAGAATCATCTGTCTGGTCTCTTTTCTTAAGAATATTAAATTAATTGCCTTTTCTCTTAGGCTTGGTCATATTTTCCAGTTATGATTTTTCTTACATGAAAGATTCCCCACCTCCCCAGCTGGGGACCTAGGGCCTAGTACATGCTAGGCAGGTGCTCTACCACTGAACTACAATTCTAACCTTTTTTCTGGTTTTCATTATTGAGTTGTTAAATCCTTTATATATTATGGACACAAATCTTTTTCCAGAAATATGAATTATGAATATTGCCTTCTATTTGTTGCCTGATGGTGTACTTTTTTATTAGCATGTTTTTAGTATTGAGGAAATTTAATTAATTTATTTTTAAATATTTGTAGTTGTAGATGGACTCAAAATAACTTTATTTTTTTATGTGGTGCTGGAGATCAAACCCAGTGCCTCACATGTATTAGGCGAGTGCTCTACCACTGAGCCACAATCTCAGCCCTAATTTATTTTCATAGTTAGTTTTTTGGGGGTTTTGTTTTTGATTTGCTCTACTGGGGGTTGTACTCAGGATACTTTACTGCTGAGGTATATATATAAAAAAATATATATATTTTTTAGTTTTTATTTAGGGACAGGGTCTCTTAAGTTTTCGAGGCTGATCTTAAACTTGTGATCCTTCTGCTGTAGCCTCTTGAGTTCCTTGGAATTCAGACATGTGCTACATAATTTTCTTGGAGGTTCTAAGAGTAGAGTGAAAGTATTTGGAGTCTCAGCATTCAACATGATATTTTTGTTTAATCTCCATCCTATGGTCTCATATATCAACATTGTATCTCTACCTTCAGCTATTGACATTGTCACCAAGTGTGGAAACTTTCCCCCTCCAAATTACAAACCTCCAGTCTAATGCCAGGGTTGCCTACCTTCTAGAAGTCAGAGAGGACAGCTGGAAGAGCTAAAGCTTCTCATACAGACCAGCAGGTGAAAATTTCTTTTCAGGCCCGCCTTCACTCCTGCTTCTGGGGATGTTTTATGCTGGCCAGTTCTTGTCCCTGGTGTAAATCCAGTTGCTTTTCTGTTTTCCTGGTTCAGCAATGATAGTGATCACTCATACATTTTCTTTCCAAAGTCTAATGATAATTGCTTTTATTTTTATTTTTTTATAGTCTATCTTTTAATAACCTTATTCCCCTTAAAATTTAC